GTGGGTCGCACACCCCTACCAAATTTTTCTGGGAGTACCCCCACACGGGTCCAGATCATCCCAAGTACTCCACAGTTCAGTGGCGGATCCAAGGGAGGGACCGGGAGGGGGTCCGCCCCCCTTATTTTGGTTTAAAAAAATCGCAGACGGAAGGAAAGCCGCCTAGGCAGGCAAAAAACCCNCCCCCCCCCCACACCACCTTAGCTCAAGGTCTGGATCCGCAACTGCAGTTCCCCTTTCTCGTGAAACGTGAGATACCTTTGTTATTTTTCGGGACAGGACCTTTTCATTTTCCGTGAAACTAACGAGATCTAGAACCTCTTTCCCCTTCCTCCTCCTTTTCACTACTGTCTTTGAATGGACACTAGCCACAATAACGTATCAGTCTTGCGAATCACATCCAGCACATCGTCAATCCAGAGAAAGAAGAGTCTTCGTTGTCCTGCTCTTTAAATGTAAATTGTTCTGAAAGAGCTCGTATCCCGGTAAATCATCGTAGCAACATGTAGAAATAATCGTAGAAATAAATCAAATAAATAAAAACCGTAGGAATGTAGGAAGTAACACCAGGCATTTTTTTTTATCGATTTTTGATAAGTCCATAAGTGGTGTGAGCGTGGCGTGATCTTACCTATTCTTTACCCTCTTGTACATATAGTGAAAAATATGGTCAGCTTCTTCGTATGGCCTATGAATGCAAGCGAGGTTGGAGGTGACCTTGCTTTGATACCGACCTCCCTAGATCTGCTTTTTTCATTTAAATGCCAACTAGTTAGCATAAGAGCAGTGAGATCTGTATCAAAACAAGGTCACCTCCAGTCTTGCTGTCATTCAAAGGCCAGATCACTGAACAGACAACTGTAAAATGGTCTATTCTGGAATTCTTTATTTACTTGGTTGCTTTAACAGTTTGGCAATACAAAAGACTACAAGTATTGACAGGAGAACAGGAACTAGTAGAACTATTTCCCTCACTGATGGGTTTCCTAAAATTAAGTGCAAAATAAATAAAAATCAAACAGCTAATAAAATCATAAATAAATCAATCATTGGAAATTATGCACAATGTGGAGAAAAATAAATTCAATATCCCTTAGGGAAAGTTCTCCCTGAGGTGTCTATGTGCGGAGAAATCATGTGGATTAGTACCCAGGACCTATCTGACAAGTCTCTGTTCATGGCTGCCATCAGTATTTACGGAACTAAATTCAGGCTCGCTCACATTTAGGGACCTTTTTGACCTAGAACTATCGTATAGCAAAAGTCTGGTGCGGTATGGAGCTACACGAGAGAACACAAGAACGAATAAATCGCGATTTTCACAACGATCGACGTGTTTTTGCGAACGGCGTGTCGAACGGCCAAGGCGGTTTGTCCTTCCATGAGAGTGGCAGTGACGAAAATTTGACGCATAAAAAGGGGCCCAGAGAACACAGCCTCGTTGATACGTTTGTTTGGACGCTGCTGTTTGTAATTGTTTTAATTGTGGAGAACATATGTCACTTTAAACTCTTCGAGAACTGCCAAACGGCGATTGTTTTCCACTGGTTGGAAAGCTGTGTTACTGCAGTGCTCTTCAAATTTTGGGGAAGTTACAAGCAGATCTCAAGGTAAGCTTACATGTACGTGGTAAGTAAAGTTCTAGGATGTAAAGAGATTTAAATCACTACCAAATGTAATCGTGACCCAGGAGAGCGTGGCAAAATCGGGTTTTGTTGTGAAAAGAAGTGTCCTGTGTTAAGACAATATTCTAGAAACAATAAACTCAATTTGGCAAAAATAATTGCCTAGCATTATCCTTGTCTTGAAGGTGAAAAGTTTTCCGACTTGGATACAATATTGACACAGGGGTAGGGGTGGGGGTGTGGGGTGTGGTAGGGCATACTCCTATATACTGATATAGGTATGTGCTGCAGGATAAGGTATGGATTTTGAGATTCCAATTCCTTGGATAGGGTATCATTTTTGCCCCTGTTGGCATTGTGTTCCCAGTATGTATGAACCTTCCAGATAGGGTAGCTAATTTGTATCAGTTAAAATTCCAGTGTACAAATGCCCAGCTAAGTGAAAAAACAAATTCCATACTTGATGCTTAACTTCCAATGTTACAGAAACATAACAAAGTTATGCCATTCATGCCATTNAAAGAAACGCAAAATCCGAAACGTTTTCGGATTTAAGAATCCAATCCTGGATTTTCGTAAAGAATCGCACCCTAAGTTAGTTCAGAGGGCCAGTAACTAAAATCAACTAATCAGATTGCTATTGTCAGTCCAATTTTTTTCAAGGGACTTGATACATACCAAATGATCCTGCATGACAACTCTCATGGGTTTTCTACAAGTGTTATAGCTTTCAGAAAAATTAACTTTTACACATTAAAAGATTCTTGTCATTTTTCTTCCATCTTTGTAAAATGTGAGACGTGTAAGCCCTAAAGGTGGCTCTTGTTTATGTGCAAAGTAAGGTTTAAGTTATTACCAATAAACATTTTTGATCTTTTTAGTGAGTCACTGTCCAGTTACAACTTGAATAACTTAGCAACTCTGGTCAGGTAGACATTAGGATATGGAGGAATTTTGTTGCAAATTTCCTGTGTAAGGATTCTTTGCATGCCCAGTGTAAGATGCCTGTGAAAGGTGGTTCTGGTGACTTGAGGGTTAATAGATTTTGGCTATGAAAGACAGGCACAAAAGATTGAATCAAAGGTGGTTTGGGCTGTTGATTTTGGAAAGATATTTAATGTCGAGGGGGGTGCCCCTTGGACCTATAATGGGAAAAAAGTTCCTGTTAGCACTCCCCCATATCCTATATATTGATGGGCATAATTTAAAGGCAGTTAAGAAAATGCTGTTTTGCGTTTTGAAAACTTTTTTATTGTGGCAGTAATGTATCAAGTTTTTAATTAATAAATGTCTCATTGAATTTGCAACAACCTGATCCCCGACTACTTTTTCCATGCAATGGAAACAAGACAGAGGTAACTAGGGGGAAACTAGGGTCAAAGTGGCAAGGAGTAAGAAAGTATGGCAAGTGTATCTTCACCCCTAGCAAAAGAGTCTTAAAGACTCGATAACTCACCCCAGTCAATTTCTTATTTGTTATTAGGATACTGTACAAATTTAATCTTACATGTCATATTTACCATTTGCTATTTAGTTTCAGGAACCAAGCACGCCATTTTCTTCCTCTTCTTTTTTTACATCTGGCCGTTGTTACTGTCTATGGACTGGATTTTAACAATTCAGCTTTTGGGCTTTCAGCTGGTTCTGAATCATACTTGGTTTGTACTAGGTCTTGTTATTATTAGTTAGTTTATATTGAAGGTTACTGTTTACTGCCTGGCAAAGGATGCATTACAGTCTGACAGATGTGGTACTGTATTTGAACTATGTCAGAGATACCTTAGACCTTGTTAATTGATTACAAGGATACCTGGTGAAAATTACACCTCAAGTTTAATGAGCGAGTGTAGTAATGCAATAATTTTTGGTTTGTTTGGTGGTTTGCATGTTTCATTTTAATGAGCAAAAGCCTGTGTCCATTGTTTTTCATATAATATGTTGAACTATTGTGGCATTTTGATTTGTTCTTACTAGTGATCCATTGGAGGACAGACGCTAGCCTGCAGTATAGGCATATTATTGGCGCATGAGTGGACATTTTCGTATTAGGTCGCCATCTTGGACTTGGCAACTTTGGAGGGTTGGAGGGAAGAGAAAATTTGCCGAGGTCGTAGGCATGACGTGGAAAACTGGGTGAGGGGGAAGGGGAAGGAAAAATTCCTCAATAATAATATTTCAACCACCCCCACTCACCCCCGGCATCTACCCCAACCCTCTACCAGTCAACCATCCAATTACAATTCAAGATGGCGGTATTGAAAACCTGGTCTATCAAGCATTCCATTCCAAAGTAACACCTGCACTGCAGGCTAGACAGACACATATGTGACGTCATTTGATTTGTTTGTTTATTATATAAAACACAAAGATTCTATGTTGATGTGCTTCTGTTTAGTAATAGATCAAAGAAGATGTCAAAATGTGGTAAGAACATCACTGACACTCACCTAATGGCTCGTGCGCCACTTTTTTGTCCTTACCACATTTTGGTGATCTATCACTGAACAAATGAACAGCAACATGGAATTTATTTGTTAAATGCAACACCTCTTGCTATTGATTAAGCTCCTGCATATTTCCTGACTATAAAGACACAGATTCATATGTGATGGTTTGACAGATAATATTCATGAATGGACATTTTTCTCATATAATTGTAAAACCAAAGTTTTCCAAATTCCATTGTTGCAGATATCCCTAGCCTTGACACCTCCTATATTATTGTTGGCATCTTGGTTGATCGATAAGCAGAACTATCCAGGCAAGGTTATCCTAACTGTGGCAATGTCAAGTTCACTTCTCATGGTTCTTTTCTGCTCGTTTGAAGATGAATATGCTCCCTATAAAATGTTGTTTCATCATGGTGTGCTTGGTCTTATAATGAGTGCATCCTTGGCATTTTTTATTGTTTATGCAAAACGATATCTTGCAAAGGTGTGTATTATCATTGTAGTTCTACCTAAAAAAAAGTAGGGATTTTTTTACTGGAAAGAAGTATTTCAGTTGTCAAACACCAGGCTCCAGTTATTCAAACTGTGCATAATTAATGCTTTCCACCCCATAAATTACTATCCAATGGATAGCATAGTTTGTCTTGTCAACACTTATCCACTGGAGAGTGATTTTTTCAGTGGATGGTTTTATCCACCCTTTGAACAACTGGGCCCAGGGGCACTACTTGAAACTTGTTCTTGTGCACCTAGCTTTAATTCAGACCTGGTTTTAATTACATAAGTCTTAGAGGTAGGACCAAGGGAGTCAGAGAGCCCAGTATGGGCAATCTCTTGTGTGAGTGTGAAAGAAAATGAATGTTGACTGTAATGCTGTAAAATTCTGAAAGATGGTTTGTTCTAATGTAGAAACTGTTGTCTTGCAGGCTTCATGTGTCGAGCTACTCTATCTATTAAATTTCAGCTGTGTTTTCTTTCTCCCATTCATTGCCTTACTGCTTGGGGAATTGCATATGCTTGAAGCTGAACTATTAAAACGAGGAAATTTGCAGCTGATCTTCAGCATATTAATTGTGGTGAGTTTCACAGTACAATTTGTGTAGGTAATCATACAATTTCAAGTTCAGTTTGGAATTAATTTGCACAAGTGAGTTTTTCAAAAAGCTGAAATTGCATGAGCCCCTGTGGCAAGTGTAATTTCAGCTTTTTGAAAAACTCACAAATGCAAATTAATTCCAAATTGAATGAGAAAAACCATATGATTACTTATTAATAATATAAACATGAAAAAATATGAATGGAGGAAGTGCCGGAAGATCTTTCTTAAAGCCATTTTTTCTCATTTGAGAAAGAAAGTTTGAAAGTTTCCACATAAAATTCTCATTATCATTTTATGTGATATCATTGGCTTAGAAAAGTTCCTATTGTATTTCAGCCAATCATAATCCAGAATTACCATATGTAATTTGCACTGGTGTTATACGTTTTGCAGTGGTGTTACACTTTTTGTACTGGTGTTACACTTGAACTGCACTGTTCTCAGCCAATCAGAATCGAGTAATTTTTTCATGTATATTATCAAACAAAGTACATTGCTATTCAAGTGCTTTTAGCTTACAACGGAACCTCCAGGGAGGCACTGAGGCATTATTGTGTGTGGGCTCACCTCCAGATTGGGTGATCGGCAAGTTCAAGCCCTGGCCAGGGAAATTGTGTTGTTTTCTTGGGTAAGACACTTTACTCTCACAGTGCCTCTCTCCACCCAGGTGTATAAATGGGTACCGGCAAATTTAATGCTGAGGGGTAACCCTGCGATGGACTACCATCCCATCCAGGGGGGAGTAGAAATACTCCTAGTCACTTCATACTACTGAAACAGAATATTATTATAAGCACTGGCCTGATGGGCCATGTGGCTTGTATGCAGACTTTGCCTTTGAGCTTCCTGGGAAGTCTTGTTTGGTTGGGGAGGGGATGGGAACAGGGAGCAGGATCCTGCTTCCTGTAGACTGCTGGCAGTCTGTTTTTCTCTTGAAATTCAGCAGGGGTTATGAGGAATGACGCTTTAGCGTAAAGAGGAGTGGGACGAGACATGGGCGCGACACGCACCAGAAGAAAAACAGACTGCAGACTCTTCTCATGTTTTTGAGGACATTCACACTTGTCAAAAATAATCTAATTAACCAATCAACTACAGTAATTAAAATCAACTAGCGGGAATAACTTGAGCCAATTGCTCAAACTCTAGCGTTATGTTTACAACATACTGAACGCTTTTGTCGGATGAATTTCGCAAGCAGAGGTTATTCTTCGATGTTGTCCACAAGAGGAACACCTGAAAAGCGTGCTTCCGTACTTAAACTGAAAAACGTGTCGTGCTCTGGTGATTGTTCTCGACTTTCTGAATTTTTATTTAAGGCGAACAATGGCACATACAACATGCAAAACAATCGAGAGTTGCGTTGAAATAACTACATTTGAATCATGTGGTGCCAGAACGACCAAAAGGAGGAATAAACCGAAGAGATAACAGCAAATGTACAAATGTCACAAACCATAGGAGTCATGTAAACTAGTCAACCCAATTTTACATTGATAATCAGGATGATCCGCTGGCATCGCTCGAGACTCTTTGTTATGCTTCGCATGAAACTTATGACGCTTTATTTTTCTTTCTGTCAACTATCTGTCATCAGGTAATCGGTTGTTGGGCTGACGGAGGGTTTGAAAAGTTAAAAAGAGTCCGCAGACTGTTTTTTCTCGTCTCGCCTTCTTCCCCACTTGACCACTGCCATACTGCCCTTTTGCGTTCGCGATGACTAAACACTCCTTAGAGAAGAAACCAGCTGCCAGCAGGCTATGCTTCCTATACCACAGTTGCTATCTCCCTCCATTGCTTGTGGTAGGGTTAGGGGTGGGGTTAGGGGTGGGGGTAAGGGGTGGGGGTAAAGGGTGGGGGTAAAGGGTGGGAATGAGGAATTTTAAATACCAGTATATCAATGGGTTATAAACCTGAGGGGTACTCCCTTATATGGGCTATATAGGTATGTGCGGCCCCAAAGGGTAAATGTTTTTTCAGCCGTTTTGGTGATAAATAGGATATTGATTTTGGCCATTTATAGTCATAAAATAGGGTATGGTTTTTGTATCCTAGTCTTGAATTAACTATGTTGTTTAGAAGAAGCTACTTCCTACTTCCTGTAGACTGCTGGCAGTCTGTTTTTCTCTTGAAATTCAGCAGGGGTTATGAGGAATGACGCTTTAGCGTAAAGAGGAGTGGGACGAGACATGGGCGCGACACGCACCAGAAGAAAAACAGACTGCAGACTCTTCTCATGTTTTTGAGGACATTCACACTTGTCAAAAATAATCTAATTAACCAATCAACTACAGTAATTAAAATCAACTAGCGGGAATAACTTGAGCCAATTGCTCAAACTCTAGCGTTATGTTTACAACATACTGAACGCTTTTGTCGGATGAATTTCGCAAGCAGAGGTTATTCTTCGATGTTGTCCACAAGAGGAACACCTGAAAAGCGTGCTTCCGTACTTAAACTGAAAAACGTGTCGTGCTCTGGTGATTGTTCTCGACTTTCTGAATTTTTATTTAAGGCGAACAATGGCACATACAACATGCAAAACAATCGAGAGTTGCGTTGAAATAACTACATTTGAATCATGTGGTGCCAGAACGACCAAAAGGAGGAATAAACCGAAGAGATAACAGCAAATGTACAAATGTCACAAACCATAGGAGTCATGTAAACTAGTCAACCCAATTTTACATTGATAATCAGGATGATCCGCTGGCATCGCTCGAGACTCTTTGTTATGCTTCGCATGAAACTTATGACGCTTTATTTTTCTTTCTGTCAACTATCTGTCATCAGGTAATCGGTTGTTGGGCTGACGGAGGGTTTGAAAAGTTAAAAAGAGTCCGCAGACTGTTTTTTCTCGTCTCGCCTTCTTCCCCACTTGACCACTGCCATACTGCCCTTTTGCGTTCGCGATGACTAAACACTCCTTAGAGAAGAAACCGGCTGCCAGCAGGCTATGCTTCCTATACCACAGTTGCTATCTCCCTCCATTGCTTGTGGTAGGGTTAGGGGTGGGGTTAGGGGTGGGGGTAAGGGGTGGGGGTAAAGGGTGGGGGTAAAGGGTGGGAATGAGGAATTTTAAATACCAGTATATCAATGGGTTATAAACCTGAGGGGTACTCCCTTATATGGGCTATATAGGTATGTGCGGCCCCAAAGGGTAAATGTTTTTTCAGCCGTTTTGGTGATAAATAGGATATTGATTTTGGCCATTTATAGTCATAAAATAGGGTATGGTTTTTGTATCCTAGTCTTGAATTAACTATGTTGTTTAGAAGAAGCTACTTCCTACTTCCTGTAGACTGCTGGCAGTCTGTTTTTCTCTTGAAATTCAGCAGGGGTTATGAGGAATGACGCTTTAGCGTAAAGAGGAGTGGGACGAGACATGGGCGCGACACGCACCAGAAGAAAAACAGACTGCAGACTCTTCTCATGTTTTTGAGGACATTCACACTTGTCAAAAATAATCTAATTAACCAATCAACTACAGTAATTAAAATCAACTAGCGGGAATAACTTGAGCCAATTGCTCAAACTCTAGCGTTATGTTTACAACATACTGAACGCTTTTGTCGGATGAATTTCGCAAGCAGAGGTTATTCTTCGATGTTGTCCACAAGAGGAACACCTGAAAAGCGTGCTTCCGTACTTAAACTGAAAAACGTGTCGTGCTCTGGTGATTGTTCTCGACTTTCTGAATTTTTATTTAAGGCGAACAATGGCACATACAACATGCAAAACAATCGAGAGTTGCGTTGAAATAACTACATTTGAATCATGTGGTGCCAGAACGACCAAAAGGAGGAATAAACCGAAGAGATAACAGCAAATGTACAAATGTCACAAACCATAGGAGTCATGTAAACTAGTCAACCCAATTTTACATTGATAATCAGGATGATCCGCTGGCATCGCTCGAGACTCTTTGTTATGCTTCGCATGAAACTTATGACGCTTTATTTTTCTTTCTGTCAACTATCTGTCATCAGGTAATCGGTTGTTGGGCTGACGGAGGGTTTGAAAAGTTAAAAAGAGTCCGCAGACTGTTTTTTCTCGTCTCGCCTTCTTCCCCACTTGACCACTGCCATACTGCCCTTTTGCGTTCGCGATGACTAAACACTCCTTAGAGAAGAAACCGGCTGCCAGCAGGCTATGCTTCCTATACCACAGTTGCTATCTCCCTCCATTGCTTGTGGTAGGGTTAGGGGTGGGGTTAGGGGTGGGGGTAAGGGGTGGGGGTAAAGGGTGGGGGTAAAGGGTGGGAATGAGGAATTTTAAATACCAGTATATCAATGGGTTATAAACCTGAGGGGTACTCCCTTATATGGGCTATATAGGTATGTGCGGCCCCAAAGGGTAAATGTTTTTTCAGCCGTTTTGGTGATAAATAGGATATTGATTTTGGCCATTTATAGTCATAAAATAGGGTATGGTTTTTGTATCCTAGTCTTGAATTAACTATGTTGTTTAGAAGAAGCTACTTCCTACTTCCTGTAGACTGCTGGCAGTCTGTTTTTCTCTTGAAATTCAGCAGGGGTTATGAGGAATGACGCTTTAGCGTAAAGAGGAGTGGGACGAGACATGGGCGCGACACGCACCAGAAGAAAAACAGACTGCAGACTCTTCTCATGTTTTTGAGGACATTCACACTTGTCAAAAATAATCTAATTAACCAATCAACTACAGTAATTAAAATCAACTAGCGGGAATAACTTGAGCCAATTGCTCAAACTCTAGCGTTATGTTTACAACATACTGAACGCTTTTGTCGGATGAATTTCGCAAGCAGAGGTTATTCTTCGATGTTGTCCACAAGAGGAACACCTGAAAAGCGTGCTTCCGTACTTAAACTGAAAAACGTGTCGTGCTCTGGTGATTGTTCTCGACTTTCTGAATTTTTATTTAAGGCGAACAATGGCACATACAACATGCAAAACAATCGAGAGTTGCGTTGAAATAACTACATTTGAATCATGTGGTGCCAGAACGACCAAAAGGAGGAATAAACCGAAGAGATAACAGCAAATGTACAAATGTCACAAACCATAGGAGTCATGTAAACTAGTCAACCCAATTTTACATTGATAATCAGGATGATCCGCTGGCATCGCTCGAGACTCTTTGTTATGCTTCGCATGAAACTTATGACGCTTTATTTTTCTTTCTGTCAACTATCTGTCATCAGGTAATCGGTTGTTGGGCTGACGGAGGGTTTGAAAAGTTAAAAAGAGTCCGCAGACTGTTTTTTCTCGTCTCGCCTTCTTCCCCACTTGACCACTGCCATACTGCCCTTTTGCGTTCGCGATGACTAAACACTCCTTAGAGAAGAAACCGGCTGCCAGCAGGCTATGCTTCCTATACCACAGTTGCTATCTCCCTCCATTGCTTGTGGTAGGGTTAGGGGTGGGGTTAGGGGTGGGGGTAAGGGGTGGGGGTAAAGGGTGGGGGTAAAGGGTGGGAATGAGGAATTTTAAATACCAGTATATCAATGGGTTATAAACCTGAGGGGTACTCCCTTATATGGGCTATATAGGTATGTGCGGCCCCAAAGGGTAAATGTTTTTTCAGCCGTTTTGGTGATAAATAGGATATTGATTTTGGCCATTTATAGTCATAAAATAGGGTATGGTTTTTGTATCCTAGTCTTGAATTAACTATGTTGTTTAGAAGAAGCTACTTCCTACTTCCTGTAGACTGCTGGCAGTCTGTTTTTCTCTTGAAATTCAGCAGGGGTTATGAGGAATGACGCTTTAGCGTAAAGAGGAGTGGGACGAGACATGGGCGCGACACGCACCAGAAGAAAAACAGACTGCAGACTCTTCTCATGTTTTTGAGGACATTCACACTTGTCAAAAATAATCTAATTAACCAATCAACTACAGTAATTAAAATCAACTAGCGGGAATAACTTGAGCCAATTGCTCAAACTCTAGCGTTATGTTTACAACATACTGAACGCTTTTGTCGGATGAATTTCGCAAGCAGAGGTTATTCTTCGATGTTGTCCACAAGAGGAACACCTGAAAAGCGTGCTTCCGTACTTAAACTGAAAAACGTGTCGTGCTCTGGTGATTGTTCTCGACTTTCTGAATTTTTATTTAAGGCGAACAATGGCACATACAACATGCAAAACAATCGAGAGTTGCGTTGAAATAACTACATTTGAATCATGTGGTGCCAGAACGACCAAAAGGAGGAATAAACCGAAGAGATAACAGCAAATGTACAAATGTCACAAACCATAGGAGTCATGTAAACTAGTCAACCCAATTTTACATTGATAATCAGGATGATCCGCTGGCATCGCTCGAGACTCTTTGTTATGCTTCGCATGAAACTTATGACGCTTTATTTTTCTTTCTGTCAACTATCTGTCATCAGGTAATCGGTTGTTGGGCTGACGGAGGGTTTGAAAAGTTAAAAAGAGTCCGCAGACTGTTTTTTCTCGTCTCGCCTTCTTCCCCACTTGACCACTGCCATACTGCCCTTTTGCGTTCGCGATGACTAAACACTCCTTAGAGAAGAAACCGGCTGCCAGCAGGCTATGCTTCCTATACCACAGTTGCTATCTCCCTCCATTGCTTGTGGTAGGGTTAGGGGTGGGGTTAGGGGTGGGGGTAAGGGGTGGGGGTAAAGGGTGGGGGTAAAGGGTGGGAATGAGGAATTTTAAATACCAGTATATCAATGGGTTATAAACCTGAGGGGTACTCCCTTATATGGGCTATATAGGTATGTGCGGCCCCAAAGGGTAAATGTTTTTTCAGCCGTTTTGGTGATAAATAGGATATTGATTTTGGCCATTTATAGTCATAAAATAGGGTATGGTTTTTGTATCCTAGTCTTGAATTAACTATGTTGTTTAGAAGAAGCTACTTCCTACTTCCTGTAGACTGCTGGCAGTCTGTTTTTCTCTTGAAATTCAGCAGGGGTTATGAGGAATGACGCTTTAGCGTAAAGAGGAGTGGGACGAGACATGGGCGCGACACGCACCAGAAGAAAAACAGACTGCAGACTCTTCTCATGTTTTTGAGGACATTCACACTTGTCAAAAATAATCTAATTAACCAATCAACTACAGTAATTAAAATCAACTAGCGGGAATAACTTGAGCCAATTGCTCAAACTCTAGCGTTATGTTTACAACATACTGAACGCTTTTGTCGGATGAATTTCGCAAGCAGAGGTTATTCTTCGATGTTGTCCACAAGAGGAACACCTGAAAAGCGTGCTTCCGTACTTAAACTGAAAAACGTGTCGTGCTCTGGTGATTGTTCTCGACTTTCTGAATTTTTATTTAAGGCGAACAATGGCACATACAACATGCAAAACAATCGAGAGTTGCGTTGAAATAACTACATTTGAATCATGTGGTGCCAGAACGACCAAAAGGAGGAATAAACCGAAGAGATAACAGCAAATGTACAAATGTCACAAACCATAGGAGTCATGTAAACTAGTCAACCCAATTTTACATTGATAATCAGGATGATCCGCTGGCATCGCTCGAGACTCTTTGTTATGCTTCGCATGAAACTTATGACGCTTTATTTTTCTTTCTGTCAACTATCTGTCATCAGGTAATCGGTTGTTGGGCTGACGGAGGGTTTGAAAAGTTAAAAAGAGTCCGCAGACTGTTTTTTCTCGTCTCGCCTTCTTCCCCACTTGACCACTGCCATACTGCCCTTTTGCGTTCGCGATGACTAAACACTCCTTAGAGAAGAAACCGGCTGCCAGCAGGCTATGCTTCCTATACCACAGTTGCTATCTCCCTCCATTGCTTGTGGTAGGGTTAGGGGTGGGGTTAGGGGTGGGGGTAAGGGGTGGGGGTAAAGGGTGGGGGTAAAGGGTGGGAATGAGGAATTTTAAATACCAGTATATCAATGGGTTATAAACCTGAGGGGTACTCCCTTATATGGGCTATATAGGTATGTGCGGCCCCAAAGGGTAAATGTTTTTTCAGCCGTTTTGGTGATAAATAGGATATTGANAGGTTTAAACAAAGGAAATCAGGACCATGAAATCATCATCATCATCATCTTTATTTAAAAACACGGTAAACCTTGACAGTACACCTTGTTGAACCGTCACTAGATTTAGGGAAAGGGTCATGGAGAATTTTTGCACGATGTTGGCATGTTCTTGTGAGTTCTTGTGTTCGTTTGGCAGATGCCTGGTCATTACATTTTTGTCTGACAGGCAAATTTGATCACAGGGTAATTTCCAGCCAGCTGTCTGGTCACCATAATGTTTTGCTGAGCCATTACTTTACATACATGTACATATAACATGAGGATCAAATCACAACTACAAAGGAAACTGCCAATTTGATTTACAAATATGGCCAGGCCCATAAAGGCAATATGAGAATAACATGTCCTCCATTTAAAAGCACTTACACACAGGAGGTCTGACTGCGTTGTACTACAGCTCTAGATCTGTAGACTCATTGTGCAACTGTTTTGGCATATTTTATTTGGTGTGCTTCAAGAGTTCCTGTTGTTTTTGTTATCCTATCATGGGCATTTCCAGGTACCTGGCAACTTGAAACAAACACTGTAAGCTCACACTGAATTCTCCTTCAATTGGCATTTCTTTCCCAGACTAATGCATGCATGCGTGCATGCTCCATTTCTGGTACAGGACAATAACCATCACACTCCATTGCTACCCATTCGCTTTTTGTGTGGTGGGTCTTAAATTTTTTTCCTGTCATTTTAGGCTTTCGTACGTTTGGCAAGCCAGGCAGTCTGCCTTTATCATCTCAAGTACTCAACTCCACTGTTAAATGCCACAGTTCGAGGGTTTTCCTGGATTTGGATCACAATAGCTATCACCTTTATTACTCCTGGTATAATGGCAGAACTTGTGGTGCCAGTCCTAGCTTCGTTTTGGATTTGTGGCCCAACCTTTCTCCTAACACTGCTTTTTGAATTTCACTGGATATGAACAAAATTGTGAACATTTCTATTATTCTGTACCTGTTGAAATATTCAGTTACAGAATGAAGTATGCATTGTATTATTCATTGGCATACATGAAGTTTGGTTTCAGTTTTTGTTTGAATGACTTTAGAGTCTGAGGAAGCTGTTTCAAGTTCTTAAGTAAATCATTCAAAATAGCTGTACCAGAAAAATGGAAAATTTGTGTCATAATTCAAATAGTTCTAAGAACAAAGAGTTGCCCTTTGTGACAATTAAGAAACTAGCTTAGGAATATTTCTTATTTTTTTTCCTGTGCTTTGACTTGTGTTTTTATTTGTTTAAGGAATAGCTGCAAGTCAGTCAGTAGTCAAGTCAATTTTTGCTTTCAGTCATTTCTGTTCATAAACTGTATAAAACATACATTAAAAGGAAAGCAAGTAAAGCAAGTATGGCATACGTGAAGTGGGTGGGGGGATAGGAGACCGGTGAAAGAGCAAATTTTTGCATTTTCTTCTGGAAAAAAGGCTTTACAGTGACGTAAATATTTTAAATATTTAAATATTAAGTTAACAAAACATGATGGAATATTATGTAGAGTTTAAACACAAATGCAATTCATGTATTTAGATAGATATTACTAGTAAGAGTATGAAAGAATAAAGTAGTACATGTGCTTTAATTGTGTTTTAGATTTTAATTATATTTCATTTCGAAGAATTTCCCAGTGCATGTATTCGTTATTACTTGTCATGGGCCACTTTGAAGTAAAGTGTTCATTGAAAATGTTAGTTGAGAAACGAAGGATGGCTTATAGTGTTGAAGTTAAGAATCTAGAGTACAGACAGTTAATCTACAGCAAATTCAAAGGTAAACAACCCTGCAATGTGGGTGGGATGTGTGAACGTATTGGCTGAGTACAAAGGAAAAGCTAGTATCAGCAGACTTTTATTTGCTTTAACTATTGTCGAAATACTTTGATGCCATTGCTTGTCTGTTTGTAAAAAGATTGCTATCCGCTGTAAATTGTCGTAAATATTTAATGCTTTGATTGACACGAATTTCCTTTTTTTTTTTGTCTAGAAAGTTGCAACAAGGCAATAACTTCACTGAATCCCCACTTTTTCACTCGCCACTCAAATTGAAAACTAATACTGAATCTTAAAACAAGAGTTTCATAGTTAGGAAATTGGTAAAAACAATGTCTGCAAAATTGATTGTAAATATAAACTGAAGCGAACTTGTAATCGTGCAGGTTCAGTCTCTTTTATATAAATTACTTTTTTATATAAATCATAAGTCAAATTATTCTCTTTATTCTCTATTCTCTTTTGGAGGGCAGAAGCATAGATGACATCATTGACGTTGTTGACATAATTTCTTTTTTTGCCTTATTATATAATATAAAACAAAGAAGCTTCCATCTTGCAGTGTGTGTAACTGAGATCATGGAAGATGTCAATTGAAATGTGGTAAGAACACCAGTGACACTCGACTATCACCTTGTGTGCCACTTTTTTTTTCTTATCGCATTTTGTGGTCATCTTTGATCTATTTACTGAACAGACACACAGCAATATGGAATCTTTTTGTTAATCTCAAAATAAGTTTCCCTTTCCTAAAGAAAAGTGAAAATAGTTTTTTTAAAAATACATGTATATGCTTTTCTGTGATAGGGGCTACTCTAGTCTGATGCAGTTGAAAGGGAAAATTGGCTTAAATACAAAATACTAGGGTTGAGCATAGGGAGGGAGGAGAGGGAGGATGCATAAATTATGTTCCTTATTCTTTGATAATCAACTTGTAATTTCTTTGTGCAATAACAGTACACTGCCGAAACAAATGAGAATTGAGAGGGATATATCAATTATAGACTACGAGTAGTCCCTCTTTTGCTTAGTCCGTTGTGTGTGTTGTGTGTGTGATATTAAACCGTGAGAAAAAAAAAAGGCACATGAAATCCTGAGGGTGAGACGCGCGTTAAAGGAGGTGGTAGTCCCTCCTCTTGCATGCTTGTTGCCCTCAAGAGTTCGCATAGCCATTTTTTTCTCATGGTTTTCTTTCACGTCACACGAAGGAGTAAGCAAAAGAGGGACTACACGTAGTCTATATCAATTATGGGACACAATTCTTAATAATTTATATCACCATGATAGAAAAAAAAATCTTGGAATTTTGGAAAATGGTCAGCAATATTATGTTTTAGACAGCTTATTGTCGATTCAAAGGCTTGTTCTTATAAAGATATAGATCAACAAGTTGTCACTGTAACTACATCTGCGTGTACGCATTGTCGACCTATTTTTGCTCTTGGGAACAGCGAGCATTGTGGGTATATCCGTGAAACATGACTCAGGAAGAGTTCGCGTGACAAACAGAAAGAGGGTACAGCTAACCTGTTAGACCTTTGTGAAACCTCGTCGGAAACATGGAAAACAAACCGCCAGATTGGTCAACACTGATAAACCAGAAAGGAGAATTCGTTCGAACGCCGTCTTCTTTTCGTAACTGGGTGACGGCCGATGGATCTAGCGGTTTTGCAGCCGAACCAAATCGATATCACCTGTACGTGTCGCTTGCCTGTCCTTGGGCGCATCGCACTCTAATAGTGCGAAAACTCAAAGGCTTGGAAGATGTTATTTCTTTCACAGTTGTCGACTGGTTCCTCGGTGATGAGGGATGGTCTTTTACAGACAGCAAGCCAAAATGCACCCTGGATACAGTAAATGGATGTCGTTTGCTCAGGGAGGTGTACCAAATCTCTGAACCCGGGTATACAGGGAGGGTCTCGGTTCCTGTTTTGTGGGACAAGCAGAAGAAGACGGTCGTAAACAACGAATCCAGTGAGATTATCCGGATGCTTAACAAGGAATTCAACGCGTTTTGTGCCACAGAAGAGCAGAAGAAACTGGATTTGTATCCTGATCACCTGAAGGATAAGATCGAAGAGCTCAACGGCTGGATTTATCCGTAAGTATAACCCTTTTGCTGACATGATATGTTCTGGTTTCTGATTGGCGATTGATAGAAATCGTTCAGGGTTTTATTCTCGGGCTTTACGCTCTCACGGTCTCTTGTGTCCCTGCGGGTTACCTTGCCACCCGGTGGTCCCCTTTGCAGTGGGGTCGCCTCATCTCTCCACCCCCCTCCACAACCCTCCCCCCACCATTTCCCTGTTTAGTTGTCTTTAACATCTCTTTTAAAATGGGTTCATGTGAATTTCAGTAAATGATCTCGCAAGTCGAAGATATTTTCATGTGAAAAGTTTTGATACTGGCAAAAGCCAACTTGGTTGTGGTGTAAGGTCAGGAGTTTTTGTGTGGCTTACACGAAGTGTATAGCCACATTATGCCCTGATCTGATTTATGCATCAGTCAATTCCAGCAGTGCCCATTCCCCCCCCCCCCC